CCAGCAGCAGCGCAGGCTTTCTTTAATAAGCGTGGTTTTCATTTTCACATTATCTTGCCTATTTTTGTTTATTTATCTCTCGGTGAACAGACCGCACTGTCCTCCGGCCTCATCGCGGCCCAAGCCGCGCCTCCTGCTGGTTCAGACCACCAGCAGCGGCAGCACCGGCGGCTGAGCGGAAGCAGCAACAGCGAGCCATACACCAACAGCAGGAATCTGATTTTTCGTCTCACTTAGTAATTGTCCCTTTGTGGTGAACGCACATTTGTTGGTGTGAGCGCAGCAGTAGCAACTGCAGTGGCAGCAGCAGGCCAAAGCAGCAGCGGAAGCAGCAGGGGAGACATCACCGAAAGCACGGCCACAGCTGTCGGTTAGCTCGCAGTTGCGCATTTGCTGTCATTCTGATGGCCCCACAAGCCTCAAAAACAGTAGTAGGGGCTCTGCCCTACAGCTTCCGCTGCGTTTAGAGCAGCAAAACTAGCTGCTGCAGCACAGCTTTTGCACAGCTGCTGCAGACAGCGCATATCTGCAGTGGCATCGACCGACTCTTGCCTAGTGAACCTGCTGCAAACAGCACACGGCTACAGCACGTGCTGCTACAGAGTTGGTCAAGGGCCCTCCGCTCTCCTGTCGGAAGCAGCCGCGGCCCTGTCTGTGCCGGGGCTCTATAGCACGGACAGCACATTAAGTATCCTTAAGGAGCGGCTGCAGCAGCAGCTGCCGCAGCAGGAGAAGCAGCATCCGGGGCACAACCAGCATTTGCTCGACATTTTTAGCGCTGCCTCTCAGGCTCTCAGGGCCAATAAGGAATTTTTCTCGCGACTGCAAGACAGCTCCACCTGCTGCAGCAGCAGTAACGGCTGAAGCAGCTGTTGCTGCTGCTGCAGCAACTGTTCGTCGCAATATGGGTAGGCAGGCCGCAGGTTCTCGGACCAGCAACAACAAGCAACGTGCAAATGCTGCTGCGGCGGCTGCCGCTCTGGCGGCTGCCTCGGCGCAGGCTGCTGCGGCTGCAGCTAGCGTGAACACCCCACAGTCGCCTTCGCAACAACAGCAGCAACAGCAGCAGCAGCCAGCAGCAACATGCGGGGGCTCAGGGGCGGCAGTGGGCAGCAGCGACGGGGAAACCGCCACAGCGGAACAGACAGTGAGTGCTTCGCCGGCTGATGAGTCGGCGAGTGCGCAGCAGCAGCAGCAGCAGCAGCAGAAGCCACCGGACAGTCTTAGGACTGAGGCCCTCGTGACCCACAATGTGGCCCCATTGGCGCCATCTGCGAACGCGACAAATGGGGCTGAGATCGCAGCATCAGCAGCAGCGGCGGCGACCACGGAGTCAGCTCAGGCAGCTGCTGCTGTGGAGGAACCCGTCAGGTTTGGCTTCCGGGAGCGCTTCAGCAGCGCAGTTTCTGGGGCGCGGAGTGGCCTGGGATTTTCATCGCTATGCAGCGGCAGGCCGCTGCAGCAACAGCAAGAGCAACAGCTATTGCAACAGCAGCAGCAGGACCAGCAGCTGCTGCAGCTGCAGCAGCAGGAGCTCGAGCTGGAACAGGTGGAGCAGGAGCAAGAGCAAAAGCCGCTGTCGAACTCTCGAGAGCCGTCCCTTAGCAGTGATGGGGATGTTATTGACTCTTTTACGCTACTGCACACAGATTCCAGTCATACGCTGTCACATTGTGCAGCAGCAGCAGCAACGGCAGCAGTGGTAGGTGCTTGCCATCCTTTGAAGCCGCGCAGCTGTGGCCGCCAGGACTGCCCGCATGTAGCGCACGGCTCTGCTGCTGCTGCTTCTGCTGCGGCAGAAGGGCTCGCCTGCGTAGCTCCTCGTAGTGCATCTGCTGCTGACCCATTTGGAGACCAGACAGATGCAGTCCTGCTGCCAGAGGAGGCATCAGGAGGTGTTCCTCGGCATCGAGGTCGTGCCGTTTGCTGCTGTTGCAGCATCGGCAACAGCACCACAAGCAGCAGCAGTACGAGCACTAGCAGCAGCAGCAGCTTCAGTGCCACTGCGCAGAGCGCACAGCAGATGCTGTGTGAGGACTGTTGCTGCTGCTGCTGCGGCGACTTCCTGAAACAGCTGCTGCAGGGCTCCTTCTGGGGCGGCAGCTGCGCAGCAGAGCGGATGCGTCGTCGCATAGAGCTGCGGGTGACGGAGGCTGTGAGCAGCAGCAGCAGCAGCAGCAGTAGTACCAACAGCTTTGTAGTTGTTGGATCATCGTTGTGGTCTCGAGGGCCTCTGTATGCCGTCACCGGAACTGCCGAGGGCGTGGGGCCCTTTGCAGTGCGACGGCGACACGCGGACTTCCAGTGGCTACAACAGCAGCTGCAACAGCTGCTGCCAGGAGTGTTCATCCCGCCCCTGCCTAAGAAGCAGGGGCTCACCTGTCGCGACGACGCAGAGACAGCAGCAGACAGAAGGCAAGGCCTCTGCATGTTTCTCACGAGAGTCCTGAACAGGCCACACCTCGCGAATACTTCTGTTGTAAGAGCGTGGCTCGAGGTGGCACCCTACGGCAGCAGCAACAGCAGCAGCAACGGCAGCAACAGCAGCGATGCATCGTTCTCCGTTGAAGCTTTGAAGCAACGCAAGCAGCACATGACGGAGCTTCAGCGAATAGAGGAAGAGCTAGCTGAGTACAAGCGCATGTTTGTCGATGAGCTGTCAGCAGCAGCAGCTGCTGCTGCTGCTTCTGCACCTAGTGCAGCTGCAGCAACTGCAGCATCACAACCGTCTTCAGCGTCCTCTTCGCCTGCTTCATGGGGCTCAGATTCTGCATCACCAAGTGCACCAGCAGCAGCTGCAGCAGCTGCTGCTGGTGCAGATGCAGGTCCCCGCATGGCTGCGAGTAAAGCCCTAGTGACACACCACCATCAGTTTCTGACGATGCTGCGCGGGCATTTGCGGCGCATCTGTAAGCTGCAGCAAGAACAGCAAGGGAGCATTGAAGCTCTGCAAGCCGTGTTGCTAGACCACAGGCTAGAGGACCCGCTGCAGCAGCTGCACCAGCCTTTGTTGCTGCAACAGCAACAGCAACAGCAGCAGCAGCAGCAGCAGCTGCAGCAGCCTCTGCTTCGTCCAATCGCCAGTAATGGTCCCGTGCCTACATCGCGGGGTGTCGTGGCGTTTCAGCAGCAGCGGCCTCTCCGCGGCACCATGGGCAATGGACCTATCGCTGCGTCGCGGGGCATTACGGGGCTTCAGCAGTCGATGCATCAGCTGCAAATTGATGCCCGGGAGAATGATGTTCTCTCCAACTTGAGGAGCTCTCCGCAGCTGCAGCAAGAAGTTCAGTTCTCCGGGGAAAGCAGCACTGGCCCTACAGCGACAGCCCCCGCTAATTCTTACCGGCATCAGCAGCAGCAACAGCAGTTTCAGCAGCAGCAGCTGCTGCGGCAGCAAGGCTTCACAATTTCTGGTAGCGACGCTCTGCAGGATTTGTCATCTGCGTTGTTTTTCTGTGGTCTGTTGTGTCAGCGTCAGTCTCGGCAGCAGCACCTGGATTTGCTGCTTGCTGCTGTTAATCGCGGGATAGAAGATAGTGATGCCATGATTAATGCTTTCAACTATGTGGAGCAACTACAGCAGCAGCAGCAGCAGCTAGCAGCGGCAACAGCCAAGCTGCAGGTAGAGCTGGCCGCATTGCGGAGATCCCCTCGGGGCTGCTGGCTGCAGACTCACTTGCGGTGGAAAGACAAAGCGGCCCAGGTCGGGGAGCAGCAGCAGCGTCTGCAGCAGCAGAAGATGCTATTGCAGCCGCTGCAGCAGCAGGTTGCGCTGGCGCAGCAAGTCCTTGTGTACGTAGAAGCCCCTGCGTGGGCAGCCATGCGATCTGAGGCTCTTGGAGCCTCAGTGTACGCATTCTTAACAGCAAGGCATTCTTTAGAGAGAAGAAGTGAGGCTTTATGGGAGGCGTTTTGTTCTCATGCAGCTCGCTTCCACTGCCAGCAGCAGCAGCTGCACCTGCATCCGCAGCAACCCCTCCAGCCGCAGCAGCCGCAGCAGCCGCAGCAGCCGCCGCAGCAGCAGCAGCAGCAGCAGCAGCAGCAGCAGCGCCCCAAGCCACAGCAGGACGCTGGGGAAAACAACACCTGACGAAAGCAGCCGCACTCTTTGCCGTCGCATTAGATAGGATCCAACGCGTGCAGCAGCAGCAGTAGCAGCAACTACGCCAGCAGCTACAGACTGCTGAAGCCTGCTCATCTGGGCTCAGCATTATTTTGTTTTATTGGCAATGCAGAGGATGGGGTGGGGCAGAGGGTTGTTCTTTTGCCAGTCGTAGGGTATAGGGTTCAAGTGGGTTGCAGCAGGAGCAGCATCACCAGTTGTTGCTGCTGTCATTGCTGCACTTGCGGTGCGCTGTATTGGTTTGTCTCTCCACAGCGCCAAGGCCGTTGGCCCGTTCGGGCTGGGCATGCTTCTTGTGAAAGAGGGCGCAGAAATAATTGACTTTGAGTTGGTGCGTCGCTGCTGCTGCTGCAGCTAACAGCGAAGGCAACTGCTGCTGCAGTGTGCGCGAGCTGCAGCAGTAGCTGCAGCATGTCCGCTGCAGCAGCCAAAACAACGCCAGCAACTGGGTGGCTGGTAAGTAGCGCATTCAGGCCAGTGGCCGCGCAGCTGCTGCTGGTGCTGCTGCAGTGATAATTCTGTTTGTAGCTTTGTATCGTCATTCCTAGCTGCAGAAGCACGAGTAGCCACGGCGGCATTTGCAACAGCTGCTGCTGCAGTTGCTGCAGTTCTGCTCAAGGTAAACTGTTTTCTTGTTTAGAGTTTGCTGGCTTTTGTGCTGAGTAGACTTAGCTACTCCAAAATGCCAGTGCCAGCTTAGGGCCACATAGTGAGGTTGCCCAGCTTAGTTTGGCCTAGGATCGTAGTAGCTCGTTGGTCTCAAAAAGACCCAACTTTTACAGAATTTATCCAGCAGAGGAGAGGCCGGATCTCCGGACGGGTGAATGCTCTGCTGTGAAGGCAGCATGAGCAGGGAAAGGAAGCTTGCCTGTCCTTATCACTGCTTGGGAGCACCTCTAACATTTATTCCGGGAATCTGCACGTTGCAACGAGCCCTAGCCCTTGCTGCTGCTTCGGTAGCTGTCTCAAGGAAGAGCGCATCAACTCCGTCAGCTGTCTCAGCACATGCTGCGTAGAAGCGAGCCCCTGCTGCTGCTGCTGCCTCCTTTCCTGCTGCAACGCCGGCTTTCGCTGCAGCAGAGCCGTCGGCCTTAGCGGCGACTAGAACAAGGAGTGCATCACCTGTTGCAACGAAGCACGTTACACAGGTCTTTTAGTATATAGCCAGTTGCATGTGGAAGTACTGATTGGCTGTGGTTATCAGCAGCAATACGGCTTGCGCCGCCGTTGCTCCTAGTGCCTCTGCTGCTGCAGCGGACACTACTGCTGCTGCGGCTGTCCATTTTGTTAGATGTTCTTGAATGCTGTCTAGAGACGCAACTAAGCAAGCAACATAAGCTGGCCTCTCCCTTGGATGGGCCAGTGCTATTCATTTGTTTTGTCAAGTTGAACAAGTGGAGAGAGTGCCGTGAATGAGAACTAGCGGAAATTGTGAAGCAAGTGATGCACTGTTAGGCTCTCAAGCATAATTCTAAAGAGTGCAGTCACCTGTTTGTCCTTTGGCTTGCTGCAATGTCTCAAGCGCAGCAGTAAGGGAAGCTGGGTCCGTTGAGTCGAAGACCATGAGCAGCAGATCAGCTCCTTCGAAGGCTCCTTTGATTGCCTCGGCAAACACTGGCTCCCCGGATAAGTCCACGAAGTGCAGCCGCACCGTTTCTTTGGTAGGCAGCACCACGTCTCTCAAGCCAAAGTCATAGGCTATTGTGCGGGGGCCCATAGCTCCCCCTCTCGCGCCCCTTTCCCGGAGGGAAACCCCGGCGAATCGCCGCTCACAGAAGCGCCGCACCAAGCAGCTCTTGCCGCTTGCTGGGGGCCCCGCAGTCACCACTTTCAGTCTAAGAGGCATCGGCATGTCCAGAACCTTCCACCTTCGCTGGGGCACAGGAATGACTGGGATCTGTGGCCTGATGCTGCTGAGGCTGCTCCTGCTGCTGCTGCCCAATGTACTGTTCCCGCTGCGGCAAATAGATTCGCGGGCAGCATTAATGGGTGCAATAACTCCAAGTGGGAGTGGGGGGACGCGCGAGCGAGCGTCTTGCTTCTGCTGATCACTCATGGTGCACGGAGATTCAGCTTTATAGATGCCTCCTGTTTCAGTCTGTCCCACTGCAGCTGCTGCCGTAGCTGCCGTAGCTATTGTTGCTGCTCCAACTGCCCCTCTCACTGCGATTTCTTCAGATATGGGCCTGTCATTCGGCTTGGTGGCTGCTGAAGCTATTTTCTCTGATGAAATTGCAGCAGTTGCTGATGATCCTGATTCTGCTATGGTTGTCACTTCTGCCGCTGCTGCCACCCCTAATGCGGCTGATCCACTTGATATTGCTACTGCCTCTGCCGTTGGAGGGCTCTTTTTCTTTTCACAAAAGGTGCCGTTGCGACCCTCAGCTTCGCATTCTGGAGCACCGAGTTCCTTCGACATGGCAGCAACAGCAGCAGCAGCAACTGTTACAGCAGCAGTGCCGGCAGTTGCAGAAGGGGGAGCATAAATCGCTAGAGAGTCAGCATTAGCAGCAGCTATTGCGAGTGAAGCAAAAGAAAAGCCGGAATGTTCCTGAACTGTCATTGGGGTTTCGTTCTCTTGAGAGTCCTCAAGATCCTCTTCCCCTGAACCCTGCGTCGGCTCCGCCGGCCTTGAAGACTCGTTGCAAAGTGACTCTGAATCAACAGTGCCCCCAGGCAAGGGAGAGCTAACGGAAGTTGCTCCAGCTGAGCTATAAACACCAGCTTTTGCAGCTGCAGCTGCTGCCACTGCTGCGGCTGCATTTGCTGCAGCTGCTGCAGCCTGTGCTGCTGCAGAGGAGGCCAGCGGGGAGTCTGGTCGTCGTGCTGCAGCTGCAGCCGCTGCCTCTGCTGCTGCAGAGGCTGCAGCTTGTGCCAATTCACCTGCGCATGTAGAAAATCTTTGCGTTGTAAGCATGCTCCAGCAAGAGACGGGAAGCCTTGAGGCACCAGGGACCCCTGAGGCTGATACAGGAGACCCTTTGGTTCCATATCGGTTTTGTTGGGTCTGGGCCATTTGCAGCAGTTTGTGTTCTTGAACTGGGTGAGACCACGAGGACTCCCTTTTCGGTCCCTGCAAGGATTTCTTCCTGTGCTGCAGCAGATCTGCAGCGCTGGATCTGTGCAGTATGCTGGTCCCACGGGCTGCCAGCAGCTCTGACTCGAAGGCCCCTCCAGCTGGAGCTGCTGGGCCAGCTGGGGCCCTTGAAGTCCCTGGGCGCACTTGCTGTGGCCCTCCTAACTCCGAATAAGAGGACAGGGGCCTGGCTGAGCTCTTCAAAGGGAGCTGCCCAGCGGGCACTTTGCTGGGCTGTTTGGCTTGTCCTCTGTAGTCCATAAACTCTCGTGAATTGCGCTTGCTGAAGCTACTGCGTAGGGACTCGTGCGTGGCGCTGAGGGCCTCTGTGTAGCTGCTCGACGGTTTGTAGTGCTGCTGAAGAAGCGCTTGAGACCACAACTTCCCTGAGAATTCAGCGCCAAAGACGTCAGGTAACTCCTCTTCTTCCCACGCAGCAGTTTGGAGGTCTTTCTGCCTATCTGTGTAGAAGCTGCGACACGTGGAAGACGACAGGAGGCGGCCTGTTGATGGTGATCCACTGGGACTTATAGAAGCTGAGTCTGGATTCCCTGGAATGAAGGTGCCTTTTGTTTCCTTCTCTCCTATTTTTCTGTCTAAACTTGACCGGGGGGCTCCGGAAGACGGTGGAATTCGGCGGAAGGTACGGCGGTTGTGTGAGGAGATGTCCCAAAACATTTCAACCGGTTGGGGAAGATGTGCCATCTTTCTTGTCTCCTCTTTTTACTTCCGTCGTCACTGCTTCTGGAGCAGCAACGAAGATGACTTTCCCCAGGGTTTTAGAGCTGCTTTGTGCAGGCCTTTTGCCTCAGCTCTTCGCTTACGGGCTTTGACGCCGGCGCAAGCAACCCCGCGTTCCCTAGGCCTAATTTGCAATGCATTCCGCGCCTTGGGCAAAGTAAACATCAATTCTTGAGCCTCAAGTCGAGGGTATGCCTTCCCGTTTCCAAATGCTACTTGAGTGGTCAACGTTACAAGTGCTGTTTGTTCTGCCACTGAATAAAGAGGGTCAAGGAAGGTCCCACAGGCAGATCTACGGTACCGGGGAGAGGCACACAGAGTGAGCTGGTTGGCTTTGTCTTGACTGAGCACCGTTCCTGTTAACCACCTAGGGTAAAGGAACTGATATTTGAATTGAAGGGGACTTCTGTCGTAGAAAGTTGGCTCAAGGGGAGCGTGCGACGTGCCAGTGTACTCTCCTGTCTTTTGGTCTTCCTCCTATGAGCTTATACTTCTTGTTACACTTCTCTAGAGCGTTTGTATCTGTCAGTGCAGGACTACTTAAGAACCAATGGAAGGACAACTTGGGAAGCAGCTACTATCGCGAGGCCAAGGACTGCTGCTCGCAACGAAAATCTCATTTGCTTGTGACTATACTATGTAAGAATGGATTCTTGAAGCATCAATTTATGCGAAATCTGGGTTTTACTGGATATTTTTAGTCAGTGCCAAACAAGCAGTTGGGAAGTGACCTTTTGTAAAAGCATCCCCAATGGGGCTATTCGTGTGCCAACCGGGACGCAGCTTTTATGTTTATCCTATAATTGTAGCATCGAAGACATTTTCTTAAGAAGCCCTTCACCTACGTTTACTAACTAGGTTCGTCAGCGTTGGCAAAAGTAGGCGCTGCCGCACCGCGAAAAGAGCGAGAGCCACAGGACGCCCCCTGCCACCGAGCATAGGCTTCGCTGCATAATCACAACACTGAGTCATTATTCAGAGCATGTTACCTCGAGTGATTCAGAAGTGAACTGAATATAATAGTGGTTCAAAGTGTTGCTGCCGTCTACGTGAAAGCGCCTACGGTGCTCATTGCCACTACTGCAACTGCGTTGTAGGAGGTTGAAAGGCACGGAAATGCGTTGAGGAAACAAAAATTTACTCGAATAATAGCTAGAAAGCTGGTAATACTTTGTGGGTGAAATAAAATCTGGCTGGATCACGCATCAAACAGCAGAGCCTCCATTATGGAGGTGATCGCTGGTGTTCTAACACCTGCAGCTGAGTCTGTCTCACGTACTAATTCACGCTAAACACTTAAACAAAAAGCAGGTGCTTAATGAGGAACAATGAGCTGGCGTAAATGGTACGTGAAGCAGTACTCGTTGCTCCGCGTTGCTGGTCGACCGCCTAGCTCGGCGGAACCTCGGTTCCCCGTGCAAAAGAAATTACACGGAACAAACCTCGGTTTCCCGAGCAAAATATTGCAGAAGAGCTGGCACAGCCTTCAATAATGAGGGGAAGGTTTCGGAGCAGTCGGAGGGGGAGAGCTACTCAGATGACACTATGAAACTGGAACATTACCAGCCGTAGGAGAATCTTTGCTGTGGAAGCCACAAATTACTTCCACCGGAGTAAACTGCCGCTGTATCGCCCTTGGGGTGCGAATTATAGATTAATTCCTCCATCCTACCGATAGATAGTTCAGGTGTATGCGCAGCTGTGGAAATGCCGGAAGGCGCTGGAGGCAACGGCCCTTCTACCGGCTGTGTGATGGCCTCCTCCTTGGCACTCTGAGCAAATACTTTCACTGCCGCTATATTTATGTAGATCCGCAAGATAAGAGTAATGGGACGGACATCCAGGAGGGCAAGAGATGCGGCTTTATAGGTTTTTCCCTGCGTGGTTGGCCTTGGAGGCAACGTTCCTTCTAAGCATTTGTCGTGGGGATGAGCCCGGAGAATGTTGCATTCCACTTGAAGGTACTTTGTATTCTTCAAGTGTGTGAGGTTTTCACCTAAACGTGTTCCCTTTCATTTCCGGATTCCAGCATCCGGCGACCGTGAAGTGGCCAAAGGTGAAACAAGCAGTTCATCGATGCACTTGGCTCAGAAACAAAGATCTACTTTTTCTCATCACAATTTCAGCGATTCGGGAGCAAATATATCATCATGCACACTTAGAGCATGAGGAATCCGCACTCGTTCGCAAACTGGTACGAGAAGTGCAAGAAGTGCAAACATGAAATTAAAAAATCTGCACAAAATAATCATGCCACTACACACAAAATTATCACGCAATTTTGACTTCAATCCTTCCAGGCCAAAGACGCCGAGGCCAAGCAGCACAAAGAGGGTACTTCAAATTCATTCAAAGGCTTTTGTTCCTAATTTGTTCCTTTTTACACTTTCCTGTGCAGCTGTGAGTGAGCTGCTAGATGCAGAGAAGGTACGGCTGTTTTTCCTCTTTAGGGTCTACTGACAAAAGCCACGGGAAATGCAGAGAATCACGAAAGCCAAAGAAGCTGAAGCAGATGCAGCACATGAGTAAGGCCAACTAAAGGCGAACTTGAAACGAAAGTAGTTATTCGCTCTCCTGCAGGCTCAGAGAGGAGGTGCATTGCTTAATGTTGTTTAGCTTCTTGCAAAATGCACAATAGGCACAGGAAGAGAAAGCAAAACACGAGGAAGCTGAGGCAACGGGCAAGCACCATTCCACATAAGCAAAACGGCGCTGGCATAGAATAAGCTGAGAACAGTTGTTGCTGAGCTAAACGAAATGGAAAAGCAGAAAGAACTCGACCACGAAAAACAAAACCTTAAGAGTCTTATTGAAGAGGAGGTGCTCCACAAAACCCCAACTTGATTTTTTTTGAAGTTGCATCTTGCTTCCATTCCAGCGGCGCGTTGCGGCGGGGATAGAAAAACTGACAGGGGAAGCCCCTGAGGTGTTCCCTGTGAACAAATGATATTAAATGCAGATTTGAAGTTGCGAAACTTGTAGGAGGAGACTCCAAAAGAAGTTGCACTCGCTGAGCAAGAGGCGCAGCCTCCAGAGGAGCAACCAGCTGAGGGTCGGGAAACCACAGCAGCTACAGAACCAGAAAACTGCCTATGGCTGAATAAATCCATTTCTTTTCCCCAACAGAAGAAGCCGCAGAAGAAAAGGCTGAGGAGAAGAGCGCTGAGTTAAACGAAGCCGAAGCCACAGAAGAAAAGGCTGAGGAAAAGAGTGCTGAAGCAAACGAAGCTGAAGCCCCAGAAGAAAAGGCTGAGGAAAAGAGTGCTGAAGCAAACGAAGCTGAAGCCGCAGAAGAAAAGGCTGAGGAGAAGACCGCTGAGCCAAACGAAGCCGCGGCTCTCACTTCTGAGCGTTAGCCTGAGAACTTCGCACAAATGCGAATATAAACTTCATTTACTGCCCTTTTAAAGCCACAGAAGCAGAGCCAGAGGAAGCGCCTCAAGAAGCTTCTGCTCAAGAAGCAGGCGGCGAGGAAGATACTTCCGAAGAGGTGGGACTGTCTACTTCACAAACAAAACCGAAGGCTTAATTCAGTCAATTCACGCGCTCATACGCACGCTTGTGTGATCTCAGGAAGAAAAAAATGAGTACGGTCTCTTCCTACACCGAAATAACTTCAAGAAGCTGTCAATGCGCAAGTAAGCCAAGTAGAAATTCCTCTGCGCAGTTCAGCGACGCCTGATGCTGCTGGTGTTTGATCGAGTCAGGTAAAAGAGGAAGCATGCTTCGCTGGCCCCGAAACGCATCAGTTATTCACTACATTGACTTCAAATAGTCTCAAAACAAAATGAGCACTGCAGATGCGCTTGCAGTTGTTACTGCAATTGGTGCGCCAGTGCCGGCATCAGTTGCTGCAGCGGAAGCTGCATCAGGACTACTGCAGTTCGCATTATAGCTCTTCTTTCAGTCGTTTTTCAACTGCTGTGTCCTTCACTGCAGTCGCTGTTTCTTGCAGTTGTTTCTGCAACTAGTGTCGCTTCTGAAGGGGTCCGCATGCGAGCCTTTCGCTACGCATCTGCCGTCATTTGTTGCTTCAGATCTTCGACTTTGTACACGAAAAAGTTCATTTCAGAGTTGTGCACAGAAGGTGACACTCCTGGAAGAGCCCAACAGAGAGACAAGATGCATCTCAAGGTCGACGATGTCTTCACGAGGTCGGTAAGTCGCGAAGAAAGAAGTTGCAGCGCCTCCGGAAGAAGGTAAATGAAGCTAAACACAAAAAGCAGAAGACTTTGAAAGATGTAGAATTGAAAAGACAACAAATAGTGTCACGCCCATCAGATAGTTACCTGTCAAGCTCAGACACAGATACGCCGTGAAAAATGAACAATGAAGGAATAGAACGAGGCCGATAAGAGAATGAATGCAGCGCAAAACTGTAGTATATCTCAACTGAAAATTTAGAGGGGACGTACATCGCAGAGGCTTTCGAAATGTCCAGTTGGGGGTCAAGAAAATTCCCTTCAATAAACTCGGCGCGAATGCCTTTGACTCGTTTGGCGTTGCGCTGCGCCCGCTGAATTAAATTTCCGTCCAAATCCACCCCAACACCTGTACAAGCCACGCAATTTGTGTTACAGTCATAAAGCAGCTGACGCATGTGCGTGGACAAAAGAGCTCAAGACCCCATAAGGTGGCCAGCCCCAGTGCCACCTGGCCGACGGCTGCGTCAAATTATTCCAGTCACGGATAATGGGAGGCAGTGGGCCACAGAAATTAACGAAAAAAACAAAAGAATGAAAATAATGCGTACCCCTACAGCCGGTGAGGCGACAGCACTCGATGATAAGTCTTCCGTCGCCGCATCCTAAGCTGTACAACAGACCCGTCAGGAAAGCAAAAATACCGTTTGCTTTCCACATTTCAGTAGCCATAATAATCTTTTGACTGGGAGAAAAATGATGAAATAAATATCTTCGGGATTTTGTGAAAATGATTAAGGGAAAGGAGACGCACTCATACACGAAGTCTTTCCCCGTCAGTTCTAGGGCCTTCGCAATATGGCGTATTTTCCCCTAAAAATGAATAGGCAAAGACAAAATGACCGAAGCTTCGTGACTGATCATTAGGGCTTGGAGGCTAGGCCTCGTGTGGAAGTGACTGCGCCCACCACTGGCGTGCCCCTGCGGTCGTTTTTAAAGCAAACACAAAACACAAAAGAAATAGCGCCACTCAAAAACGCGAATTGCACAAAAGCTCCTTCAATAAGCATTGTAGATATTGGCAGCTCAAAGGCCTGCTTTGATGGCGCACTGGAAGGGAGAGACGAAACCGCCGAGGTCCCAACCTCCTTTTGCTTCCACCTAAGGACTCACGTAACACAAAAACTATTATAAGAATGGCGTAACTGGCATAAAAGTCTTCTGCTGGTAATCTATTCTATGTTGATGCAAATTTTTATACTTAGTACAGAGTAACCACAAACCCAAATTATTCAAGAACAAATGCAAGCTATACCTCACAGAGCGCTTACGAAATCAGGGGCTGCGCGACGAAAAGGCATCCAGCCATCATCTTCATCTTCTTCCGAATAATTCAGCAACTCTTCTGTTGCTGGTTCCCATTGATTTGCTCGTTTGGCATCTGGCGGAAGCGTCATGGAGTAAAGGTACACCGGGGGAGAAAAGGGAGAACAGAGCGAGGCTCAAGCTTGTCACTCCTATGAAAGTTTGGACACCCTCTTTTATCTGATAATGGGACAACTGCATGAAATGTAGAAAGCCCCGTTAGACTTCTGTAAGGACGCAGTGCACTGAATGCCCTGAAACTTCCGTTAACATTGGACATGTCAACACCAGCCGACCTATATTTATTAAGAATCAATTAAAGTTTCACATAAATTCTTCATTTCCTCGTGTGAGCCCTTCCTTACGCTGATAAGGGTGGCCTGGCAACGCATGTGAAGGCACCAGCAAAGGCATGCAAAGCCAACAGGACACCCGTGTGAGTTACAAGCTGAGCAGGAACCTTGAACGCCACAGTTCACGGATACCTCACAATTTTACATTTATTTACTTGGGGTCTCTTCTCTGTTTCGCCGCATAAGTATCCGTCAAATGTGCCGGCGCAGACGGGGGCTGGTTCTCCATATTCCGTTGCACTAGAGTGGAGACTGTCGTTCCACACCACTGCACAACTCGCGCCTTGGTTTAATTTCTCACGGGCCTTCTCCTTGAGGTTTACATCTCTGAAGCGCCATGCAGTCCCCTCGCGGCCCCTTCCAAATGAGCCGGAGCAGCAGCAGCTAGACTTGCCTAGGTCTCACCCAACACACAGCAGCACTCCACCAGGCAACTCCTGCAGGCAGCAGGCCGCCACATATTTTGTAGCAGCTTGCAAGTGCTGCGGCTGGGCTTAACAGCAGGGCGCTGACCCGCGGGCTGTGTCTTTGCTTCCATAGGGTGTTCTTGCTGCTACTGGCCCGCAGCTGGCTGTTCGTGGCTGTGCACGAAAAATTCACTAGGCAGTATGGAAGTAAGTGAACTCTGCAGCTCAAACTCTGGTGCTGTGGTCTCAGCCTCTAGCGTATCAGTCTAGTTTTGTGGCTTTCTCTGCTATACAAGCTAGAGATTAGCAACGGACAGAGGCAGGGGTTAGCCAGAGACAAAAACAGAGACAAATGAAATCACACTGAAGTGGACAAAGCCGATTGATTGGCTTTTTCCACAATTGTTTAACAGCTTTTGCACGGAGAAAGAAGACAGGACAACGCAAAAGCGAACTGCAGAGTAGTGAGACTCACCATTCTGCATTCGCCACGAATCTCTTTGTAATTCTGTTCTTTCTGTCGTTCTGTTTCTGCTGCCTCTTGCAGCCCTCAAAGGAGCCTGCAAGACCTCCTGCTGCTGCACCTCGGGGAGGAACAAACCCCTCAGTTGCTGCACGCTCCGCTTCCTCAGGGGCAGCCACAGCCGGCGTTTCTGAAGGTAATGCGGCGGCCCCACAGCCGGCTGGAGGCGCTGCTGCAGCTCCCTCAGGGTCTGCTGCAGCAGCGGGGAGTGGAAGCCCCAAAGCTACTCCAGCTACAGATGCAGCTTCCCCTCGAGCGGCGGACTCCGCACCTGCAGGGTCTGGGCGGCGTCGGCTCTTGGACAGTGAAGATGACTCTCCAGTGAGGCCTCGCGGCCCCAAGAAGAGCCGGCTTGTATCTGACAGTTCAGATGATGATGTTGCTCCGCGGAAAACGCGCATAGCTCCCCGCGCCCAATCCGAAACAGCGGCGGCCAAGGGGAGCCTGCAGCCAAAGCAGCAGCAGAACGGGACTAGCAAAGCAGCAGCACCACCAGCAAGATCCAAGGCCCAGAGTAAGACAGAAGGGGCTTTAGGTGTTTGCCTCGTTGTGTGTGCTGTTTTCTTTATTTGAGACCTTTGGAGCTGTTCTGTAAATCCGTGGTGCACGCAAGCCAAGACTTGCAAGTAGTAAGATAAGGCATGGACGATTGGGTTTTTCTGATTTTGCGGCGTTTGTTCGTAGCATCTAAAAGACGCAACAGCGGCAGTGACAGTAGCAGTGGAAGCAGCAGTTGCAGCAGCAGCGGCAGCAGCAGCGGCAGTGACAGCAGCAGCGGCAGCAGCAGCAGCAGCAGCGAGAGTAGCAGCGAAAGCAGCAGTGGGGAGGAGTCCGATACCCGATCCAGCAGCCGGGCCAAGTCCCGGACATCTCCAGGCAAGAAGAAGCAAGCAGGAAAGACAAAAATGGCGAGACGTCAACATGTAAAGGCGGAGCAGGGGAAGTCACGGAATGTACGTACACCTTCAGCTGGCAGGAAAAACGGAGACACTGCAGACAGCGACGAGGACGGGCAAGAAGAAGAGATAAGCATGGGGGCGTTTGATCCCAAAAAGAGGAGCGCAAAGGACAGGCTCGTCGCTCAATTCCTCAGACGGCAAGTCGGAGAAACTCTTTTAACCCCCGCCCATTTGATTAGCGCACAAAGCATACTTGTATGCGCATAGAGCTGTATGTATAGATATGTGTTACAACGATGGGAGGGCATTTTGCTTCGTGTTTGTCTTTTTTAGTTCCGCCTCCACAGTTCCACCAAGGCGAAACCGCAGCAGCACCAGCTGCAGCCTCATGTACAGCAGGGGCACCCCTCGCAATAGCAGTACCGTCTGCTCATGGGGCAGTTGTTGCATTTGCTCGGTGTTTTTGGTGCTGTCAGATGGTGGTATGCGTGGCCGCAGTGGCCGCCGGAGGACTTTGATTATTCGAAAGAATTGGAAAAGAGAAAGCTGAAGTGGGTCTCTTTAGAGGAGTACGAAGACTTAGATGATGTGGATAAGAACGGATATACAAAAGTGTACCAAATTTCCGCATTTCCGGGTGAGTCATATGCCCCAGTGACATTTTAAATCCAGGTGTCCCTACACCTGGCACGCATCAGAGGCTGGCCGCCTGTTTATGAATGTGGAGCTTGCACTGCGGCTATGCCATTTTATCTGAGCCTTTTCAGTAATTGTCTTTTTTAGGCGTGTTCCGGGACCCCCACGGTAACGCGATAGACTTGCGGCCTGAAGAGGGGCGTCCTTGCTACAAGAACGCAAAGCAGCTATCGGAGTTGGAGTTGTTGCAGCTAATAGCAAAAGCCGTCAAGGGGCAAATGGCGGCGCTGCAGAGTTCACCCTTCGATGAGACAGCGCTGCAACGAGCTTTGCAACAAGTGGGTTCATAGAGGTTTCCGAAAACCTCCTGCCTTTGTATAAAATAGAGAAACACATAGTGTAGGGTAGTTGCAGCCTGCAGTGTCGTACCTCCTCCTAAATTTAGATTTTGGCAGAATACGGTACAGAGAACCTCACCCAGCGCACAAACAGCCCAGCATCCCGTTTGTGTCGAGCGTGGGTCTCTGAGTGCGCATTTAACCAAATACGTTGTCAAGTGAACGTTATCTGTGTTGAAAAGAGACAGATGTGCCCCGCGTTTTGCAAGCGTGGTGGATGCGTTTTGCGCTTCGCCAAGCCCTAGTGCGTTTAGGTGGGGCTGGGACTCCAGAGCGAATGGAATGAAGTCTCATTGTGACTGATTTTTGTTCTACTTATGCGCAGGAGCTGGAAGAAGTGGAGTCGGAGTTTAAACAAATGCAGAAGCGCGCAGAGGCTGCTAAGGGCCGCGCCTGAGGGAGGGCTTGATCCATGCGCAGCTGTACATCTTACATCTGCACAGACCCTGTGTGCAGCAGCCATATGTACACATGCAGTCGTAAATGACGGGCGTTCACTTGGAACCTAGGCTGGAGCCTTTACTTAGGTCTGGTTAGTGCATTTGACAAGCGGCAGACCAAATACCAGACGTTCTCGTCACTACACCTGCGTCCCCGGCCTCAGTCTAGTTATTCAGGAAAAACAGACGTAACATGGGGTACATAGCATGTGTTCGGGCCCCTGACACTACGTAGATCTGTGATGTGCCGGAATACCAAGCAGTACCCATGGTATGCGGTGGGTCCCGTTCTCTCCTAATGGAACATGAGGGAGTGTGGGTCTCGTTCATTCCTAATGGAACATCTGTCGGGCTGGGCGCGCTAAAGCAAACTTTGCCGCCTCGAAGCAGACCCCGAATGGCACTTGTCTTCTCACGACTTCTGGCTCTTTATACTTGAAAATTCATATGTGCTCGCCGCTTTGGGTACTTATGCGGGAGGGCCGAAATCAGCGCGGTTAAGCAGTCGTGTAGTACCGGCTAGCCCACGTCCAACGGCTGCTCGTTTGAAGCAACTTCGCACTGCAGCCTCCACAGCTCTCGGTATTACTTTCCACTGCCACGACGACCTGCACTTGAGACCGGTACTGACAGGCTCATACCCTCACAGCAATTGTGACTCCTATCTGCCCGTCACCGCAAATGGCGGACTGTCTACAAGCACGTGACAGTGCGAAGTCTATTCCCGGGCTTGACACCAAAGAGGTAAATTTCTTGTTCTTAGCGGGCTGTGTCCAACATGTTCACTACACCTCCGCATTAGCCCTCTTAGGCCATCTTACGAGCGGGCACCGGGAAACGACCAAGCTCCAGAGGAATTCATTGCCGCAAGTCCTGCTTGCGAAATACGGTTGACTTTGAGCTCAAGTTCAACCCAGCACGGTGGGGCAGTAACCGCTCTACCTAACCCACATAATGTTTGGAAACCGATCCAGGGGACGGCACCTTCGGGCCCCCGATGATTCGTTCTATCTGATAAAGTACCTGAACTCCAGCTACCTGAAGAGAAACTACGGTAGGAGCCATTTACTGGACTATCTGACTGTTCTCCTGCCCCTGCACTCAAATTCGACGAACACTTCGCACGTCAGTACCGCTACGATATCGGCAACCACTACTCAATGATATTTCATAGAGACGTACAAGTACGCACATCATTGTAGCCCAAGACGCATCTGGAAGGGAGCTCTCATACCACGGTGGCACGACACATCTTTTCTTGCTGTTTCGAGAAGTGGACACTCGGAGAACTGCTCCCTGTTTACTGCAGGCCTGTGGTTGATCCACAGGGGAAAGGACCTCTGGACCTCTGGCACAACCACAGGCCTGCTTTGACAGCACACTGGACACACTTCTGAATCCTTAGCCTTGCAAAGCATGCCCCTCCGTTGACATTTTACCCACTTCAGGAAGTTCAAACGCATACAATCGACACCGGAAATACGTCGTCGAGTTGATATTTTCTGAAAGCACGAGCGCACTAGTAGCGCTTCATCGTTGTCCGCCCCCAGTCAAACAACACAAATGCACATAATATACAGCAAGTGCCGCTGATGGGGAGCACGAAAATTCATTCTTCGCATGAAGAGGACTGCCCGGCCTTCCACAGTGGCGAGGCCAAAGGATGGCGGGAGAAGACCATGCGTTAGCCGATAAGTCGCGCATGTGTTCGGCCATTTCCGCAGTTTAAACAGCAGTAAAAGTTTACCACAAACAAGACTATGACAGCATATTATGCTAAACTGCACAGTCAGCCTGTCCACCCAATCAAGAACGCTCTGGTGAGGCCTTCCTGGCAACCCCGCAGAATAGCTGAAGAACGAAGAAACTGCACACGATGACGCAGCATTGTGCCGCCATAGGTCATGAAACTAGACTGTCTGTACATATTTTGTACAGTACTGGGCACAGAATCACAAAATTTCAATCACCAAGCTACTAGAGCGTGGAAACAACCAGTGAGTTCTCCGGCAGCGACCCACCAGAGAGCCCTTTTCCCAGCATCCAACCAAACTAGAAGGCCAAAAAGTGAATTAAAATGCAAAATACGCCTTTATACATTTAAAAAAGTGCTTTGTGCCAACGCCGAGCAAGTAAAGTAACGCGCCATGTGGACCTCTAGGGGTGTGGGGAGCGCAGGTTCTTTGGGGCTTTTCAACTGGGGCTTGACACACTAGCTGGTTGAATGAAACACAAACATTTGGAGGCTGTGTTTCTGTCCACAAATTAGCTGTTTTTACTACGTGACAGACTACTGTTGGAAGTGCGCGAAGAAAGTAATCCAGGCCCACCTCCGGCCGTTGGTCTTTATACCGGTGAGGCCCCCAAACTCGGCACCACGTATTGAGACATTTCCATCCATGCTCGAGGGATGTGGCACAAGTTGCCTAGATGCAGTAACGTTTCTAGAAATCACGATACGATTCTGGGAGTGCAGCTCGATCTCTGTACGTGCGTAAATACCCCTACCCCGAAATGCTGCTAGGAACGCTAGGTGGAGAATGCCACAGGGTTGACACAAAGTTTACCAGTAACGCTTCCGCTGCTGTCCGTGGTCAAGTAAATTGTACAGTTAGCTCTGCCGCACCGCCGAAATCCTCACCCCCACGTCACCGGCCATGCGGACATACACGTTCCAAACAGTCTGGGAACTAACTCGACAGACAGCACGGAGGGGGGTCTGCCACAGCACAAACTGCGAAAAACGATGCTACAGCAATAGCTGCTGAAGTAGCCTCTGTCGCTGTTTGATTCTTCCATGGAGACTACCTTATGAAGCTCATTTTGCGTATGTCTGAAATATGTCCGTATTTACTTCATGCTTGTGGAGCAGGCAATAAAACTGGTGCGGAGTGCGTAAACCGAGCTGCCTCCTGCAGCTTTATCACCCGCTGTCGCGTGACATCAATCTTCGGTCTGTGTTTTACAGTGTGATGAGGACAGGGACAGACCGACTAAAATGCTACTACGCCCTGTCCACCAACTGCAGCAACTCATCTCCCTGTAGGAGACTCAAAATATGTCTCCTGCACGTATAGGCGTCACCTCTGTTGCTCTTGCTGCTGCTGCTTCTACTGTTGCAGCTTTGCCTGATGAGGCGCTCAGAGCCACACAAGCAGCACCAGCGTTCCCGTGAGCAGCTGTGGGCACTTGTGGACCCCAAACAACTGCTGCTTCTGCTGAAGCAGCTGCCACTTCCGCAGCAGCAGCTGTTGCTCCTGCTGCAACCAGACCTGCTACTGCTGCTGATGACAGCCGATGCAGTAACGTTTCGCACCGCAGGAGTTCGTGGTGTGAAAGTGCAAACGAAACAACGATTTAAAAGCTGTGGAGCCCCTCGATCTCTTCTGCTGCTGCTGCTTTGTGCTGCTGCGAGAGAAAGGCCCCTCCGCTGTTACCCTGCTGTTTTGCAGCCGTCGCTGCTAGGTCAGTTGCAGCAGCTGGCGCTGCTGCAACTGGCTCTTGCCAACACGCATAGCTTCCCTCATTAACGAGAGTCCACAGTTGCTGATGTCTCCCGGACAAGGGCTCCTGGAAACGCCGTACACTACAGTCGTTCCTGCTACTGCTGTTGCTGCTGCTTCCTCAGGAGCTGCCTGAGAGGCCATGTTGCAGCTGCTGCACCCCCTTCAGCATTCTGTTGAGTTCTTGCTGTTGGCGTAAGAACTCCTGTTTTCTCTCCTGCATCTCTTGCACGTGGCGTCGCATCTGTTGCTGCTGCTGCTCCAGCTGTTGCTGTTGCTGTTGCTGCTCCAGTTGCTGCTGATGTTGCATCGCCGCAGCATCTGGCATCCAAGAAACCGGTCCACTTACACCTCCCCAATCTGCATGCCAGTATAGCAGCCACAACACAAACCGGAAAAAACCCTTGAGACAACGCAGCAAATACTTGTAGGCTAGCACATGCACTGTGGTGAGCAAAATGTGAAAACAAACATTGGTAGTACTGCGAAATCGCTGGGAAGGGCTTGGAAGAGGTGCGCCACTACATACGCCGTTGGCCACATCCTTACAGGTCGCTGTACTGGCTGATTTGATACCCGTTTAGCTCAAAAACTAACCCAGCAAATCATGGAGCCTCACCTCCTGCAGCAGAGACGGACTGTGTGTCCGTTTCTGCAGGGTTGGCAGTGACGCGGGTGCCTGCAATTTGGTGAAGGCCATCCGACCTCTTATCAGAGGAGGAACCACAAGCTGTCCCTGTCGAATCGTGGGGCTTCCTTGGCAGCAGCTCTACGCACGACGATGGAAGCTGCTGCTGCTGTTGCTGCTGCGGCTGCGGCGCATCAGCTGACTCTGTTACAGCTGACGCCTGAAAGCCACGAACCATCCATTCCACTCCCGCTGCTTCTGGCCGCAAACCCGTCGTCCCACTGCTGCTGCTGCTGCTGCTACTGTTGCTGCCAATAGGAGGGAAGGCGGGAACAGATCGGCCATCCCAGCAGTCCCGACCTGCACTGAAGTACTGGGGATCACTTGCTCCAGGGTAGCCCATCAGCATTCTCGCAGCGGAGACAGCGGCCGCAGCAGCTGCTGCCGCTGTTGCTGTGCCTGCCCTGCCGCTGCTGCTGCTTGCTGCGGTCACAGCTGCGCTGCTGCAGCCGGTGTTTGTTCCAGCGCTGCACGCACCCACCCTCAAAAAGAAACAGGGCATGAGGGCGTATACTGCACAGTGGAACTCCTTAAGAGCTCTTTACTGGTAACTTCACAAAGCTTGAACAAAGGCGGCAACAACAGCAGGAACAAGAAACACAGCAGCAATCACAACAAGATATGACACTTACACGGTGCCCAGGATGCCTCCGGTTGACTGGGCGGTCTTCGTGCTGTTATCTCCATCGACATGACGCCCAAGCCCACCCACGATCAGCTGCGGCTGGTGCTGCATGTGTTGCAGTTGCTGATGCTGTTGCTGCAGCTGTTGCAGCTGTTGTTGCTGCTGCAGCTGTTGCTGAAGCAACTGCTGTTGCTGTAAAGTGTACAAGTCACTGCTCGGGTCCACAGGGCCACCGCTGGGGGGTAACACCACTGGCCCTGAACCGTAGAGATGCTGTTGCTCCTGCTGCATCTGTTGCAGCTGCTGCTGCTGCAGCTGCTGTTGGTGCTGCTGCAGCGCGTACGGGGATGACACCCCGATCACGGGAGGAGACTGGGCATAGCCCGTCGCCGAGCTGTACATACATCCCCCACCACCAGCTCCTGACGCGACAGATCCGTGAACCTCTTCGGGCCGACGGCCGCTGCAGCCAAAGAAAATCAGCAACCGTAAGAGAACGCTCTTTGTCGTTGCTTCGAAAGGATGGAGGCTGCTGCTCGTGCCGCTGGCGTCGCTGCTGCCTACATCGGGGCTGCCTACCATAGAGGATTGGGACCAACAGTGAGCTCGGCTGCCGAGTGACCGGAGGGCAATGACAGGAGAGGCGCATCCAAATCAGGCCTCGAAACGTGCATGTTTTTACGCTGCAGCAACCAAAAATACCGTGCAAACAATCCTACAAGCTTTACTGAGGCTCAAGCACATCAGACCCAGGAAATGCAAGCTGGTTACTGACTTCGTTCCATTGAGCCCAACACTAGTATAGATTGCTGCCCAGGCGCCTGACCAGCAGTCGCTGCCACCAGTTTCGTGGCATCTACAACAACAGGCTGCGCCCTGCGGCAGCTGCCACCATCATACTTAGGACTGACCATCTCGCAGTAAGCTATTTCATCTTCCGGAGTTCGCATGCGGAGCCAGGGATGGTCCAGCATCTGTTTTGCACCTTGGCGCTTCAGCGGGTCTGCGGCCAGCATCGGCACCAAGAAATCCGAGAGGGATACAGCCTCAGCCTCGCCCATATGGTACCTACGGCAAGAGATAAGCAGATATTCGTCCGCATATGTAGGGAGACACATTGCCCAGAAGATCCCGCAGCATACAGTCGCAAGTGCACACGCTCCGTCAACAGCCCAGTTACCCCTCAACACTAGACAACGCAGCTTACACACGATGCTTAAACTTAACACAATGAAAGCCGCACTTACTTTTCCCTCAAAACAGCCACAAGAGGCCAAAACCGCAGGTCGTCAATTCGCCGTAACTCCGTTGAGCGTTCGCGGAAGAAGCGCTGCAAAGACAGTCAAGCCCTACGCCATCGACCATACCTCTTACCCCTTACGCCTGAGCCATACGGCTTTGTTTTGCATCCCTTTCCGTACTGCTGAATCTGAGTGTTACCAACGCCCTTACATGTGAATGCCGGCCGCGCGACACGAAGTTGAGCGTCATAGGCCCCACAAGTTCAATGATCTGCCCACACAAAAGACACAGAGTCTGAATCATCGCCCTCTATATAGCTAATTCCTCTGCGTATTTAATAACTTTTGTTTTGCTCCTGGTGATTCACTGGATGGAACTAAAAAGACTATGACAGGAGCACTGCAACTAGTGTTGCCCTAGCCGCAAGTGATGCTGCTCGGTTCCAAACTCGCTGTTTGCCGCCCCTTTGCTGTTATTGCAGCTTCCAGTATAACACCAAGAGAAACGTACGAGGGCCAGATGGTCTTCATCTCTGTCAAAGTCGCCAGTACTCTTTGGATCGAAGAGGTAATCCCCAGTCACCAACTCAAACACCATGCATGCGAAACTCCACACGTCAGCTGTGCAGTCATATCCAGCCCGAATGATCACCTGCGAATCGAGGAAAAACATCAGCAGCAGCCGAAAACTAGCAAGAGCAATAGCCATAGCAGCATCAAATTCTGCAAAGAAACGATCTACAATGGAGCACGCAGATGAATGCCTGCGCAACACCAGTGCTTCTACGCACGGTGCAACAAGACGAACCTCCGGGGAACGGTACTGTCGCGTCTGTATGTCATCAGTGAAGTGCTCCTGGGCCCAGCAAGCATTCCCCAAATCACACAGCTTATACACTGCGCTTGGATGCTCGAAGGCGAACGAGCTTGGCGGCAATGGCCTGTGTGAGCGACGACAGAAAACACATCAACGCGTTTATCGATAGCAAAAAGGCAACAATACGTACACACAGTGCACCTTCAGGCCTACGTAGGCATGAACATAATACATCTAGAAGGGCTCAAATAGTTCGTGGTTGACTGGCAGAGCCTGCAGCAACATTGGCCGCACAAAAGTAGTCAGATACCACCAAAGGAACTAAAAGGGGTGGTTTGATGAACTGACTTGATGCAGATGGGCCCCTCTGAAGTCTGAACAATAGTCATGTCTTCCTCGGCTTGTTGGTCGTTTTCTAGCTTGATATAAGGCCCGTAGAGCAAATGGCCGTGTGCATCTCGCTTGTCGGTTGTGCGCGCCGCCTCCTTCAGTCTCTGGTTGTACAGTCTATCTGCTGCGGGGTGCAGTAGCAACTCATCATGCAGCAGCGGCAAACGACTCTTGGCAGCGTCCGCTTCCTCAGCCTCATCACCTGAAGCGCCCTGCGGCCTTTCCTTGGGGAGCCAGTAGAGGATGCGACCTCCCGTCTTGGGGCAGCAGTATGCCGACTGTGGCTGGTACTGTGAGTATCCCACGTAGTTGTAAACGTGTCTGTGTCCCACACAGGCCACAATTCCGGCTGCCAGCTTGCTGATGCTGTTTAGAGCCAAAGTCAATCTCTGTTCTTTCTGCTGCCTGTCTGTCCCCCACCAACCCCTAGACCATCTCCTGTGCTTACCTCTGGAGTGAGCCCTGAAGAGCATGGATCTCGTCCTTGTACGATGTCAAAAGAGAAGGGTCGGAGCGACTCGGTTTAAGCATGTGCTTGACATACGGCACATACACCGCCTCCCGCTCCTGCTGCTGCCCTGCTGTGTTGTTGCCAGCTGCCTCTGCTGCAGCCCCGATCGTCCCAGCAGATGCTGGCGCAGCGCCTGCGGGTGCTGCTGTCCCTGCTGCTGCTGCTTCCCGCTGGTGCTTTTCCGTCTCGTCGTCCTCCTCTTCTCCCTCCTCTTCAGAATGGGCGGCTTCCTCCTCGCCTGCAGCTGCAGCAGCCGCTGCAGCCGCGGCTGCAGCTTTCTTTTTCAGGCGCTGCTGTTTTCGTTTTTCTGTAAAAAGAACAAACAAAGACAGCGACGACTTAGTACGATAGGATGAGGGAACAACCACCTCTGATCTAAAAATTCCCGTTATTCTTGCGTACTCTTTTTCCTGAGCCTTTTGCGCATTTCAGCAGTGAGACCCTCAACTTCCTGTTGCTCTTGCTGCTGCCCTGCTGCTGGCGGCGCGACAAGGGGGTTTGGAGGTGGCAGCGGATACGCCGAGACGCAGACATTCTCGGGCTTCAAGTCTGTGTGAATGATCCCACACACGTCGTGGAGGTAATGCAGCCCGTGAAGGATGTCATGCGCTATGCGGCGAACCAGTGGAAGCGGCAAGCCCCTAAAGTTGTAGCGCTTAATAAGAGACAACAAATTCGGGCCTGAACGTAACCAAAAAACACGAAACGTAAGCTTCAAACCCCGGTACACCTGGCACTCCTGCCGCCGTGGAAGTCTGCAAAAAAGACTGTACAAACGGAAAGATGGAGAGCGCTGACTGCATATTCTCCTTAAAGTTCAGGTCACGAGCTCAGAAGGAGCGACGTACCGAGCATCTCAAAGACAAGACACATATGCTTGCCATTTGGCCCCGTGTGCTGGAACTGCTCCTTGAACAAAACCACTGGGGGCAATGGCAGCTTCCGCGGTGCCTCGTAAGGTATGCCTGCTGCTTCGTGTCGCTCACGGATGGCGCTCTATAAACAGTAACAAACCAACTCAAATCCGTGTGATGTTCCCAAAACCCAGCCCGTGATTTCCAGAATGCCTCGATATACTGAGGCGGCAGCGCTTGTGGTAACGAAAATCCCAGACCAAAGCACTGCCCCTATAAAGATTGGTCGAACCGAAGCCCCTAACGCTTGTTCTGCCGGGGCCCGGTAGCTTACGGAGAAAGACTTGGCTGCTTCCCTCCAGAAGGGATGGCGCATGCCGTCCTTGACCTTAGTGAGGAGCTGCACTTCATCTGCTGCCGCCTCAGTGTAGTGCCGGGCGCTCTTCTGAAACTTCAAAGCGACAAACTCGAGAGGTACCGCTCTGCGCAATAAGGCAACACATATAGTGGTGCAATGTTCGTCCACTCGAAAAAAGCCCGCAGCTGCCATTGTCCACGCTGAAGCTAATGTGGCTTGCTCACTTGAGGTCTGTAGCCAGCCACACGGTGGAGAAGTGCCCCCAACCAAGCTTGGCTTCGATGCGGTATCTGTTAGCGTAGATTTCGCCCACAGACACCGGGTGGTAGCCACCCCTCCTGTACTCCCTGTGATCTTCATCATCGCTCTCAGTGAAATACACGTCACTGTCTGCAGATGGATCGGTTCCTTCGGCAGCAGCCTCTTCATCCGGAGCCCCACCGCCATTGCCTGCAGCCGACCTCCTACTGCCCCCATGACGGCTGCCCTGCTGCTCTGCCCGAGCGTCACCGCCGGCGCTACTAGTGCTGCTGAGACTCCGGCTCCGGCTCCGGCTGCGGCTGCGGCTGCGGCTGCTCGGCTGATGCAATGAGGAGTACGGGGAGGCAAGTTGACCTTCTGGCCCCTCCACGGGGTCCCTGCCCTCGTAGGCAGGTGACGCCCAAGAGGCTCCCTGGGGAGACTCAACAAAGGTTCTACCCTGTATTTCCGCGCTGTCTCCGCGCCTCGGCGGCATCACGGCGCTAGAGGAAGAGTCGAGGCTGGCCGTGTCTGTCCAGCCGCTGCTGCTGCTCTGCTCTCGCGATGCTGCTGCTGCGGCAGCGGCAGCAGCGGCGGCTGCAATACCATCTGCTGCCGCTGCTGCTGCTGGTTGCGCCATCCCCCAGCAACTGCTTCTGCTGCTGAACGGCTGAACAAACTGTCGCTGCTGCTTGCCTAAGTTCCAGTGCCGAACATAGCCTGCTCAACCGACTCTTCGGGCGCAATCGCCCCAGAAAAATCGAAGGAATACCCACGAGCCTCGACTGATGCACACAAGAGGACTCCAAGGGCCTACTGCAGCAGCTAGCACCAACTCCTGCTGCAATCGCCGTGGCAGCTGCTGCTATAGATGATCTCCGACACTTCCGAACCTGTCGCAAGCACCAAAGCTGCTGCTGCCGTAGCTTTTGGAAATGAGGCTTTGAATGCTGCTCTTGAGGGGACAAGGCGGCCCACAAGTGTGTGGTGACTCAGCACCTCGCCCTACAGAGATAAAAGATAGATGTTCCGAGGCAACCCTGCATGCACGGCTGCTTTGTTGGTAAGCTCGTGCTTCTGCTGGCTGCTGCTTCCGCTGCTGCTAATAGCGACACGCTGCTGCAGCTGTTCGCGCCGCTAGTGCGGAGACTGAAAAACTCGGTCGAACACGCAGAGAGCACGGACCAACGCCATCTATGGCTTTCACCGACATAGTGCAGCGTCCCTGTGAACTTGAAGCATGACAGCCGCTGCTGCTACTCCTGCTGTTTGTGTTTTTGGAAGCCGGCCCTTGCCGCGACTGTAGCTGCGCCGTAGCCCAACGCGGCCCCTAGAGCCGACGAACACGGAAGCACGAAAGTTACGTCGGCTGTACACTGTGGTGGTGGCTGCGGACGGACACCAGAAACACGCCGGCGCAAGAAGCGGATGGTGCGCTGCCGCAACGTGGCTGGTCGGCCCTTGCTACCAAGAGAAAGCAGTTGCTTCGGGTGTAACAGCCACAAATCAACAGCAGAAAGGCAAGATGCAGCTGATGGCGCAAGCTGCAGCGGCGTGAAGCACGCAGCCTCGACAGCTCATGCGGACCAAGAGCGACAGTGTGGCAGGCGACAGTGGTGACAAGCGGTACCCCTCGCAGCAGTTGCAAAGGGCACTAAAAACGCGGGAACCAAACCTTCCCTACGGTGTACCCACAGATGGAAACAGCGCCTCCCAGAAACGCCCCTCTGCTACAGCCAGCGGCCTCTGCGGAACTCTAGCGCAAGAGCCCCCCGTAACTGCGGCCGCTGCGGTTGCTTTTGCTGCTGTTGCTTCTGCTAGTATGCCGCAAAACATACAGATCTGGCTCTGTCTGGAGCCGCAGAGGAGCAGCAAACTAGAGCGTCGTGTGGCGCCACAGCCCGGCTGCCGCTGCTGCCGGGCGACAGCAGCACTACTCGCTGCTGCTCCTGCTCCTTGGCAGTCTGTTAAGGGCCGCAAGCAGTAAAGCAGACAGCAAGGAAACCGGATATGACTTGGTCCTGCTGCTGCTACCGTTGCTGCTGCAGCCCCTGCTGCAGCGCGCAGCGGCTGCTGCTGCTGGCGGTGGGTGCCAGCAGCCGCAGTAGCCGTGACAGCAAGAAGGGATTGGTCTTTAAATTCACATTGCCTTGTCTCTTCAGTATCTTAATTGATCTTCGTTTGGTTGCGAGCCCTGAATCTTGAGCCCTGGCTCACTAGACAGCCAGTGCTCCGCGTTCCCTACAGTGCAGGGGGGGCGCTACTGCACATCCCCCAGGTTTACTGGTTGTGTCTCCGGCAGCGGGGCCTCTTCAGCTGCTGCTGCTAGTTGGAAGGAGTTTTCTTTTGGTGAGATTAATATATGTGGTTGATTCTTTGTGAACTGTTGAATTGTGAAAAATCCAGTGCACCACGGGGATGTACTGTCAGCTCTTCGCTCGACAGGCAACTATATAAAGCGTGAAGCTGCATTCAGCTTTGTGTGCTCATGATAATTTTCAGCGCGGCTACACAGCCGCCGGCAGATGCTCCATAAAACAGTCTACGGCTGCATGAAATGCACGGGGACACTCACGGGCAGGAGCAAATTTAATTTTGCAAGCCGGAGGTTGCTTTCCGCGCCATGTGGGTTTTGGTAGTAGTGCATTGGCAACGGATGAACGGTTTGCAATAATCAGCAAAGAATGGAGGAGTGTGCTGGCACTCATGCCAGGGCAATGCACAAAGTCTGGCGTGACAACTGTAGACATGGGCTTCAGAACTTGCTTGAAGAAGCGAGCATCACCTTCTGTACCGTTTGATAGCTTAGTTCTTAACCTTGGCCTAAACTGTCCATATTTATGGCTTGAGATTTTTAATATTAACACTTCACTAGTGGGGTTCCCCAGTTTACACAGCTTGTGCCCTTCCACATTCCAACTGAACTGGATGGGGGTGGGTTGCAGTTTTGAGGTAATGGGCTCCAGCTTCACCTTGATATCTTCAGAACAACAGCTTTTTCTTTGCTTCAGTCGGTGAAGCTCTTTTTCCTGATGTTCTTTCTTAGCTTCCACTTGCTGCAAACACCTCTACGCGGATAAATGCTAGTGTTGCCCAGCAGCTCTGTCAACTCAACAATCTTCTGTGGCGATCGCTTGTGGCGATCGCTTATAAGACGTTTTTGCGTGGGCTTTGTCTTTTGCTCGACATTTTAAAGAGCAAATTACGAATGCCTAAAATCTCGACTCAATGATTATTATTATTTTGGTGCTCCTCTGTACAACAGATCGTCGATTCTAGCAGCTTTGTCGGTAGTCCTCTTCGCTTGTATGCGTTTGAGAACCCCATACAGTTATTCTTACTTCGCATGAAGACAAGAAAAGCATTCATGTAAGTACAGATAATCTTCATGGTCAGCTCTGCGTCTAGCGGCCGTGGGGAATATCGCGCGTGCAACCCGTTCACTATGTGCGCGGAACCTTCACTATTAAAAACTGATTAGCTTTCAAAACAGCTCTTCCCGGCTATTTAAAAGAACTGTCCAGTGTGCACTAGCTACGGTCGAACTCCATATGCTGTTTTCATTCCTGCATGCTACTGTTTAGTGCGGGCTGCAGGGCTTGGGATCTGCGGACCCAAGGACTAACAGGCTTTAGCTGAGCCACCTGGCGTCTTCAGCGCACGTATCAACCCGTATGGCATGGTTTTGAATTTACGTTGCCACATCTAATGTGTCCGTGTCCATGGTGCTCAATTCCGTGGAGAGCACTTCCAGAACGTCTTGAGCGGAAACTATTGCTTGATTACGCAGATACACGGTGGACGCGTTCAAGGCCCGTCAGTTGATGCCCATGAGGTGCCATCATCTTTCCTGTGTACAATCACAACTGGAGAAGAAAATGGTGAGCATGTCACTGTTGCTACCTTTGCTGAGTCCAAACTCTGCAAGGCTCCCCTCTGCCTTTCAAGGCGCTCCTGAGTAAATATGAGGGCTATAGATTGCCCCCATCCCTGTCATCTTTCTGACACAAGTGTAATGCCCTGATAGGTAGCTTCTTCCACCAGTATCTTTGCTAGCACGGCTTCTACAGGAACCTGAACGTGCTTGCATAAAACAATTTGTTTTGCCGCTTGAAACTGCTTGTATCGCTGCACAGCATAATGGAACACGCAATTGGTCATCGTGTAGAAGAAAAACAATCGTAAGAGGAACTAGCTACACACTATGCAGAAGAAAAAGCTCATAAAGCGTTGCTGCACACTGCGAGCTCTGCGGAGAAGCCCACGATCTGGGAATCGCAGCGGCCATCATCCAACAGGGACTCTGTGCACTCGAAGAAGCCACACGTTGCGAAAAGATTTAGCGACCGTTTTGACTGTTTTTGGTACCTAGAGCACTTTGAGCTGACGATGTAACTACCTATGTGCGGTGTTGGAGTGCGTAGCTTAGCCTGCATTAAAGACCCCTATATCCAATCGTTTGGGGTTGGCAGTACATTGTTTGTATTCTCCGGGAAGCCGTGTGCTGAAAAGCAAATGACTGGCCGCTCCTGCCTGTGACCAAGCCGTGTCCAAGACTTCCGCACATCAGTACCTTCAAAATGAGTCCATCATCGCTTCTACTTTTGACGATTGCCTTTTGCTGGCCACTGTACAAAGAACGTTCATATTACCGGCAACTTCGTTTTGACGCAACAGGATATTGGCACCCGCGGCGGCTAGACATACAACCTTTGCTTTATGTAGCTCAGCCGAAAATTGCTTCGCTTTGATTTCCCGTATACGTTTTCTGGTAATTACTTTTCTTCACTTCAAAGGTTCTGTAGAGGTTGCGTGGAGGCCATAGTTTTGCTATCGCACTATTCTGTCGTGTAGCTTTCATGCCAGCCAGTATCTGCCGGTGCGCAGTAACTACAGCGCCACAGAACTTTTTTTTCAGTTCATGGTTTTCTTACTCGACATTCGCATCATCTTCTTGGTGAAAACTTTGTGACTTTTCCCACTGGATTTGATGTGTTATGCTGTCCTTGCTCTTTGCCTTGCTATTACTTCGTCAAAGTCCTCACGGCGCCGCCCTTTCTCAGTCGGTTTGGTCTGACGTCCTTGGTTAAGCTTTGGTTGCCGATCATTCAAATCCTTCACAGGGCGCTATTCCTGGTCAATATGTTTCCAAGATTATTGTTGGCGGAATCTGGAATGCTAGAACGCCTTGGGAAGTCTGCAACAGTGATACAGAGAAAACAACACCCTCTGCCACAAGGAGTACACTTATTCTTTGCCCAGGTCTACTATTAAACCGGATCTGCAAGATCAGCAATGGTTAGGGCCACAAGACAAGGCAGCAAGAAGGACCTGTGGGCATCCAACAGCACTAGCTTCAGCCGTCTCAAGGCTGATTTTGCGTGTATACACCCACTCATAGCAACTGCTCTGCAACAAAGCAGTTGCTGATTTTGCGTGTATACACCCACTCATAGCAACTGCTCTGCAACAAAGCCGCTAACTCCAATGCAAGCTGTTGCTGCGAATCAGCAGCCGGAGTACACAGTTTCCAACTTAAGCAGTTCCAGTATTTTGTGCGCTTGAGCTGTAAAACATGCCTTTGCCCGTGCCGGGTTCTTCGTGAACCATATCTCAAGGCCGCCAAACATCTCCGCGAACCCGTCAGATGAGAGCTCAGCAGTTGCTACCTTCCTTTCTGTTTCGGTGTACCCGGTTAGCGATTTTTCAAAAGACCGTAGAGGCTATGTGTGCCACAGTTTCCGGGCTTCCTAAAGAATGTGCTTTGTGCCCAGCAAGACTATGCTGCCGCGGGTCACCGTGGGCAGAAAAGGCCTTTTGACGCCTCAGAGGCAACTATACTATGGCATGCGCCGATTCTTGTGCATTGCTTAGCTTCCAATTCCCGCACAGAGAAAGCTCCCAGCCCCCTTAAGTGTTGCGTATTCCTTCTCGGCGCTGAGGTCACGTCAGCCTGATTTTCTAACTGATCTGCCTCTCGCACCTTCGGGAAGTATCTCTGTTTGAGAGAGCACTGAGTTCTTGAACAAAATGACTCACTGCTCCGCAGCCAAGAGGGCAGCGACAGCAGTTGGAATCGTCAAAGTGCTTGCAGATCACCTCATCCGCTACTGTAGTTTCCTTGAAGTCCTCGGATCCGGCCGCTACTCTCCTTAGTAGTCTGAACTGTGGCACCAAATATGCGCTTGGGTCAACAGTATGAGAAGCGTGTACTTTGCGTACCACTTCCAGATCAACGGGCAAACAGGGAGTGATAGCACATTGGAACAAATGCTAAGGATATATACTCAGTCCGGACAGAGGGGAGGGAAGGATCATCTCCCCATTCTTGAACTGGCCTACAAAACAACAAACCTACTTCACCGAGGTCCCCCAATTCGAGGTCATGATTGGTCAGAATTTCCTCACGGCTGCCGACATCGACATTGTTGGCGCACTGGCACCCACTGTCCGCCCTCCCATGACGATACTTTTCCAGCAAACTTGTGATTATGTGAAGTGCTACGTTCTGCTTGCCAAGAGGCAAAAAAGGCATACGCTGACCCGAACTGGCACGCTGTCAACTATGCTGTACGTGACAAGGTGTGGTTCAGCAATAATAACTTGCCTGCCCTCAACACCTGCTCCAAGCTTGAGAAGCCATACCACGGCCCCTTTAACATTACTAAGTGCATAGTTACACTGGCGCATCGCTTGGCCCATCAACGTGCAGCAAAGTGCGCCTTGCCACTCGTCCGTGAACCTCAGTGCCACTGACGAGCCAACGTTGGTCAAAGCCAGTGTGTAATGCAAACCGTGCAATGGTGCCCTGAGACTCTTTGCTTCGGCCGCCGCCTGACGAACAAGCGACGTTATCCATGCCTTCGCCGTAGTCTTCGCATGGGATTTATACCTTTTAGGTGGCGGCCGTAGGAATATGGCGGCCTCCTCTGCTGATATACCCGCCACTTGCTTAGCCAAAATGTCATATGCTTGCTCCGCAGGAGTCGTTGGAGGTGCTACTATGTGACTGTCACCCTGCAATGTCTGTTCACCCATCCTAACGACCGGTAACTCGCACCACTGGCCGTTCACATAGGACTGAAAGTACCAGGCCACCTTATGTTCAGTCAGCCAATCCAAACCCACGACTAAATCATAGGGAACGGGTCCCACTAAGAAATCCCCGGAAAACGTGCGTTTCCACACCACATCGTCAACCCCGTCACAACCCGATCAATGCGTAATTGTTCACCTGTAGCTACGGTGAACCTATGCTCTTCTAGAAGTCTCCGCACCTTGAGCTGCAGTCGTTCGACTGTTTTGGGACTAATGAAACTCCACGAAGCCCAAGTGTCCAAGAAGGCCTCACATGGACTCACTGCGAGCTCAACGCGAAGCACCGCCGTCGCACCCAGATAGTGCAATGCTCCCCTTTGGTCGTAAGGCTCTTTCGTGCAAGTTTCCCGCCACCAGTGTAGCGCAATTTCTGTTGTGTCTGGCCTGTAGCCGTCTTCTGTCGCCCCTGCAGACTTTCTGCTGCTAGCCGTCGTCGCGCCCGGAGCCGCTTCACTCAGGATCGACGCCGGCCGAGACTCCCACCGCGTTTCCGAAAGCGGCGGAGTCGCTTCCGCGTGCCCGTCGCTCGTATTGGTTCCTTCCGCAGTGCTGAGGAGTTGGTTTCCCCATTCAAGGAAGACTGGAATGGCATTGGAGCCTGTCGATACCGCACACATCATTCCTTTGCCATGGCTACGCGGCCTAGAACGCTCGTCTCCAACCACGCCTAGGCCCCCTTGTTTAATCGTTCCGTCTTCTCAGTGCTAGGACGTGTGGGCTGCCTACTGTTCTTGTCCTCCGCCTCGGTCTGACCTCGTTCATACGTAGGACTGTCCCGAGCATAGTGTCCCACACCGCCACACTTCTTGTGTATTTCCCCCGGACGTTTGGTACGTTCTCCCTTGCTGGGGCAGGCACGTGCCGAATGCCCGCGACCCTGACACTCATAGGAGTTCGCATGGGTTCCCCCAGGTCGGTTTTCGATTTCCTGGCGCCGCGTTGGGGTCCATTAGCTTGGATAGCAGCCCTAATGGCTCGACTGGTCCTTTCTCGGAGCTCCAGCACGCTCTGCTTGGGCTCGTAGAGGCGTGCTGCGGCTGTCGCCGCTTGTTCCCACGACTGATACTTCACCTGCCCGTTATTGTTGATTGGAAGATGCAGTTCCGTCGGTAGCCCGGTGCAGTAGTAGTCAGCGAGTTCGTCGGGCGCGAGACCCAAACCACGTTACGCTACAGCCGCAAACCGGTCCGTGTATTCCTTCGGGTTACCATTCAACCGTACTTTAGCCAACTCCGTTAACAATTGACTTTGCGACATTGTTTTGTCGAACCGCTCCAAAAGCCTGCGCTGTACCGTCGCCCTGTCGCTGAGGTCGATAGTTCGCCGTAGATACATCCAATACGTCAGAGCCGGGCCCACAAGGTGGTCAATAAATGCGCTTCCCCACTCGCACGGCCCCAATCCCATCTGGGTGTACCGGCGCTCGATGCGCAGCAAAAAGGCCTGCATAGTGCTGTCGTCTTCTGGTAGTATGGGAAACGTTGCGCCCGATTCCCCCGTCCCGTCTATAGCAGTTCTTATCACACTCATAGCGGACTGGAATTGGTCCCACGTGACGAAGGGACTGTCTCCTGGAATAATATTGGCCATAGGTATCACCTGTGGAGGCGCCTCCTTATGCCCATGCAGCCGCTCTGCCACGGTGGGCTTCGGAGTAGCATGACGATGATGGGCTGGCGTCCCGCTCGGCATTTTGCCTACTGACATTCTACAAGTCTCCTGCTGTGTGGGGCCGATAACGCGTCCGTTGAGGAGGTGCATCCCTTATCAAGGGAAGATATCTAGGTGTGAATCACTGAAACATAGTGTTTCTACTCCCAAGTCAGGAAAGAACAAAGATTTCAATCCCGGAGCAACCCCCAAATGCAGTGCACAGCACCTCCTGCTGCGACTACGCTGCTACCTGCCCCCTCGAGTAGGGGCCCATGATAACCGCCTACCTTGGGCGCATTTCCTTGAAACAGTAGTCCAAATATCACGAAATTCAGTTATTTATACCTTTTTTCAAAATCTGTTCTCTTGAAAATCCCCCCCACTCGGGGTTCTCGCCTCCTAGGCCCTGTGGGGAGGAGGCCTGCACCGGTGCGGGCGCTATCGCCAACCCCAATCTCCAGGTATTTACAGGCCCGTCTAGTGTACACAAGCTAGTTCGCCGACAAACTGCCTTACTTCGATTCTCGTAAGAGGGTCCTGTCCTCTTTCAGTGTTATGACCTCTTGTAGGTCACCAGCTAGCTATATTCTGTAGGTCACCTGCAAGCCCTATTGTAGTGCCTTTGCACTACATGACGCGCACCGGTGCCGGCGTTGTCGGCAGCCCCAATCTTAGAGCATTCGCAGGCAATTGTAGTTTATAAATGTTAATTTGCTAATAAATTGCATTTCTATTTCACTAGTAAGATGTTACAGCGTTCAATCCGCGTCTCAACCTCTTGACCGCTTATAGGTCATCAGTTAGCTATCCTCTATAGGTCACCAGCAAGCCCTACTGTAGTGCCTGCGCACTACACGCTCCGCCTAACATGCCACGAAGGGCTATGTTTGGCATGAATTGGAGAGCTTTTGCTTCTATTTTAAGCGGAACACCGGAGTGTTTCCTTAAATTGCCTTGTGCACTACGCGTACGAGTGAGCAAGAGCTGTTTGCTGCCTCCTGAAGTTCCCTGGTCGCGGTGAGAACACACAATGCATGCTGACACAACTGTGAGAAGGTTCTTCATGCTGTCGAAAAATTTTGCTGCTTGTCATAAATGGCGCTTTGCTGCGATGCCCCCATGGTCGATAGTTCTCGTATGTGGAAATGTGCCGTGCCTTCGCAAAATAAGACATGTGGCTGCCTTAGACATCTGGCTGCCTTTTATCAAGGCATGCATCCATACAGCAGCCTTTATAAAAGTGCTGAATGACAAGACAACAAAATCACAGCCGCGTTGAGCGGAGTGGCCTCGCAACCAGGAAATGGCTTCCAGGGTCATATACACCAAAATATCTTCGACAGAGTAACAAGAAGATGTAGTGCACATCCAGTGGGACTTCGTCCCCAGGGTATAAGGCCTGGTATGCCTTGCAGTTAGGTCCGCAGTTTGGGGCTCACAAGAATCACTGAAGCTCCAGTGCGCGGTACGCCCACAGAGCAAAACAAAAGCATAAGGAGAAGCAGATACGCCCAAGGAGATGGGGACTAATAACAATATTGTTTGAACCTTTCTTTAATGATGGATGTGGTCCTTAGTTTGTAGTAATAAACGATGGAGTCAGGAGAGCTCGTAGTTCACCATGGTGCTGGCCTCAAGCGGCCTGCGGATAAATCGGCATCTGCAGCGAAATGCGCTGGAATCAAGCAAATAAAGATTCGAGTGCTACAATAAATTTACCTACACCTCTTTTATGGTGGGCCAATACAGCTGTGGAAAGGCCGCTAAGGCCTTCGCATTGTAAAATTTCTCCAAGACATGGCAGCAGGGACAAGAGAGAAACCATGGAATTGTCGAGCCCGAGCAGCTCAAACTTAAACACCTCTTTGTATTGCTTTGCGGAACGATGTAGGTATCTACTGGCTGCTCTGGTTAAAGCTTAATGGCCTGTTGCGGGCGTAGCTTAATGGCGAAGCTAACCAGAGCAAATGCCTCAGCGTAAACTGATTGTTTCTAAAGCACGTTTTTGTGCATCAGCTGCCCTACGGAGTTTGTAAACCTATGACGAGCTGTGATCCTGCTTAATATGGCGTAGAAGAGAAAGACAGGCAATAGGAGACAATAGTGCACCGCTGAAAGTACCTTTATAAGGGACAAAAATACGTCTTTTTCGCTGGCTGGTGTTGGGAAAGTAGTGCCTTTTATGAAGTAGCGGACGGCGCAGTGTTCCATGCGCCCAATCTCGCATTTGATGCAAAACGCTGGAATCCTCTCGGCTTGACCCGGTATCGTCGTCATTGCTGCCACATGCATGTCAATCTGATGAGAATGCTCAATATGCATGCAGAAAAAGTGCCACACTGTCTGGGAGCCTAAACAAAGTTGACATTGACACTCAGGGGAGTGGTGGATTTCCGTGTCTTTCAGTGGGGCTGTCTAACAAACGCCGTGACCCTTCCGTCATGTTTCACCTTAGCAGGCACCGCTGAGCTCAGCCCTAACGTCCTGTGCCTCGACTAATTTCCCAGTTTTTCTCACCTTCGACCCTTGTCGTACATTATGGTACGACGGCTAGCACGATGATTAATGATGTAGGAACGCTATGGCTTGCTCTTTTCCCCCACAGGATGCGATAGATTCACAAAAGCTACAAATGAGCATTACTGAAACATATCAGTGAAGTGTAAGCCAGACCTCACTCAGACCTGTTGGACCCGATGCCCCGCGTTCAAGAAGCGGCGTTGGCATAATATGGCTGGAGCTGTATAGTCAAAAGATCAAGTGAACGGATGGCTATCAATGCAGTGAAAAGCTAGGGAACTGCAGGGTAGTCCTTACAGGGCTTAGGAACGGTGCCGACCCATGTTCTCTCTAACGACGAACTCATGCTTCAACTCCGCTTGATATAGATTTCCTGTGGTTTATTGCTTGCCTGCTACGAACTTGGCCCTGACCCTTGGGTACTGCAACTCAAGCAAAAAGCAGCACGCACTCCAGAGATGTGTTGTTGCTCCACACCCTTTACAGAGTGTATGGACGGCACGCTTGTGAACTCTCTTGCTACCCAGCTGCACACCAGAGAAAGGCTAAACGAGCCACAAGAACTGTGTTAGACGCTTCAGAAAACTACTTCACAGCTTCAGTGTTTCTCTGTGCTTGCTTTGCAAATGGTTGATGTCTCCTCGCTTAAGTGCCACCCAAACGTGTGACAGTACACATTGTGTCCCTCAGAGGAGAAGTTTAGAAACTTGGTGAAAAGCCGGTAATCTCCTTCCTGCAGTGCTGCGTAGAAAGCCTGTTGATTAGCAAGATTTGGCGGAACTCATTCTGTCGTGGGCCAGGAAGCAATTGTGGGCGTCCCTCCAACGAGATGCCGATGAACCCCTATAAAATTTTCAGTTGTGCATAGTTACAACCTCATATAAGCAACAAAAAATATACATATGCTTTTAAGAAAGTAACTGCAGCTCCAAGCCTTAGAAGAACCAGGAGGGCTGTATCTTCGAAGCCCAGAACTCACACAGGTCCGGTAAGGACAGAACCCACTGAACGCAATAGCTGTTTCGTCTTCTTTCGTGGTGTTTCCAATAATTGATGCTAATCTTAAGACAGAAATAATTGTCTCATTTTTTGTGTGGACTCTTCAAGTACAGTATCTGTCTGGAACAATGGCGCACACCTATCTAGGCTTTGCCGCAAATCCGAAACAAACCCTGTTTCTGCAGGCGATAATCCTGCGTTTTTTTCTAAGTTTGCTTGCTAATGCTGCATCTGTCTCAACTGTGCTTTCGTCTCCTGGCGGACATGCCGATCTTCAGCAGTCCCTCGCTCAGCCTACAACTCAGCGAGATTTGGGCTCGGAGAACGGTATCGTAGCGGTTTTCCGCCAAAGTTCTCGGAAGACCCGCATGGCCATCTTAGGAATTGCTTTATTACTGGCTATCGCCCTTCGTTTCGCTTTTGGATCCCTGAAGACGGCGCATACTGATGTACGGTGAATGCACATCTCACAAAGGGAGCAGAGCAATGTTTCCTGTGTTGTCTTATACTGCCAGCAAAAGGCGGGCAGGGACTCCGAATGACAAAGCGAATCTGCACCTAATAACTTCTATGGAAACAGTATCCCCGTAAATTTAGGGTGTTTCAAGCAACGGGCACAGCAGGTGCCGAAAGCTTTTGGCATGCTGTAGAGGAAATTAGTTGCACAGAAAGGCGACTGTACTTCGGGAACAGAGAGTACGCTTTCCGATGTATCATTTTCTGTACATAATGCGGTTGACGTTCCTTGAAATCGGACTGGGTGGTGAGGAGCTGGACTTCGTGGTACGCGGGAGATGGGATCGATTATTTGAAGACACACCACAAAGCCGAACGCCAGCATTGTACTAAATCACACGATATCCTAATGTGAATTCTTGCTGACATGAGTGAGAGCTGGAACAATCCCTTTTCTGAGCAGGAAGTGGGACTTCTGTTCAGATACACGCGCCGGCCTCTGGTGGCTTGTAGCGTTAGCCATTCCAGGCATAGCAGCGCAGGAACGGAAGAACATAGCCAGAATATCGAATGAAGCTACAACGCACAGGTGTTCATGAATGCTTTTCGCATGAATGACCACCATCCGTCATTTGCGTGCTACACACAATGGCCAACCTAGAAGTATTTCCTCCAGAAAACAGCTTGGACCCTATATGAGCTTAGTTAGGGAAAAAACTGAATGCCACTACAATAGCACATGTCTATACCTGCGAGGAAATTTCTCGGCGAACGTCGTTCGTGTGTACGTGAAGCTAGTGCGTTTTGAGAGCCACGTTGGTCTGCGCAAGAGTCAGGAGCACTTAGCCACAGAGTAGGTTTTTGGTTTGAAAGCACAGCAGTGCAGTGCGTCGCCTTCGTTTGCACAGTACCGGCAATACGTGGCATTACATGAATAGCTTTTCATGAAAGCAACTAGGAGGGCGAGGCACTGACAGCATGGGACTAAGGCAGCAGCCACATTATCCAGGAAGTCGGTTTTCTTCGTTCGTGGCATTGAGTTTAGGGCAATTTTGTGCCGTTCACAAATAGTGCCTGGT